CACTGGCTCTAGATAGGGCTTTTGGGGTTTTTCCATTGCCACCGTATTTCCATTACAAGCTGGAAGGTGAACAGTATTCAGCTGGTTGCAATCTGCAGCTTCATCACGAGATGACACTGAATCCTACCACTGGCCCTTTAAGAGGATATTAAGGCAGAGACATTACAACACAACAACTTTTTTTTTCCAACATGCAACACTGTTCAGATTCTTCTCTTATTTTACTGGTTCTGGAGAAATGGTGTCAGAACCACACACCCTTGTGATGTAATACAGCTGAAGACAGCCAGAAGCATTCCTCACACACCATATCCCACAGAGCAACAGAGTAACCAGTAACTTGAGAATCCACTGAGTAAACACTTCAAGCGGCCCACAAGCTGATTTAACTCTGTGTTGATCCACAGTGTGTGGATGTTGACTTAGCTGTGGAACAGGAGCTGCAGAGCTGTAGCAAACTGATAGCGACTTGAAGATCTCGTCTCACTAGAGAAGAAAAACACCTCTAAGTTTTTTTCTTTTGGAAAGATCTGCTGAGGATCTTCTATAAATACATTCTGCTGTAATCTGATCCCCTTTAGCACTAACCCATGCCAAAGCCTATTTATTCCCCACATTTGAACACTGGTACTTTTAAGGCAGCTACTCACAAGCCTCAAGTAGTCTGTGAGCATAGACTAGCAAAATGTGTTTACGCCAGGTCTTATCTAAAATGCACACCATTCACCAGACTGTAATGATCTAAAAGCAGTCTGTGAATGAGGCCAACTATCACTTCCAATATCCACGCTTTGGACTTTAAGACAATCAGTGTCTCATACAGCTCACACAGGCTTCCTCTGGCCCAAAGGTCAGCACTGTCTGACAGCAAGGAACTGGATTCCTTCAGATGCTTCCAACAACCAACAGACAGGTGCACTCCCTCCCCCGCAGTACAGTGTGAAAACACAGACAATATGTCTGGCAGCAGGTGGCTCCCACTCCAGGGTTACACACTTTCACTAGCTGGCATCACAAACAGCCTGCATGTTGAGAGCAGGACTTCCCTTGGCTCTCAACATCACAGTGAATGAGGGATCTGGGTTGCAGAAGTTGGCAGATAGGATGCCATTACCTTGCGCAGAACCTTGCCACACGGGGGCCAGCCACAGCCTTGTCCCAGGCCGTTGATGAACCAGAGAAGTGAGAACATGGGCACAGTGGAGGACCAGGAGAAGGCTATGTTGATGCCCCCCACCAAGAAGAGGCCGATGGAGAAAAGCCAGCGTGCACTGATCTGATCTGACAGCACGCCACTGATGAACTTACTGATGGCGTAGGCCATAGTCTGGCTGCTGGTGATCATACCTGCAGACACAACGGGAAGGCTGGTGTTAATGTAATGAACAAAGAGAGACTACATCACAGGAGACAAGGGCTGTAGGTCTGTACTCATGAAGTTGGATGATCATTTCACTGCCAGGAATATAAAATCAGAAAATGTGTCCAGAAGCTCATAGCGCCACCATGAGACATGTTGACATTAGTGGTTAAAGTGAAATGTCTCTACAACTATCAGATGGATTGCCATGAAATTTGGTAGTGGTCGACCAGTATGGGTGTTTAATGGCCAATGCTGGCCGCAAAGCAGCCGATGCCTGATATATAATACAGATATTAAAACAAAGGAAAGTCAAGTATCATTCCATTATTCCATCCACTTTACAATCTAATATACACTATCATCTTTTATACATTAATGAAATAGAAAAATAAATTGGGATTTGGTGTAGATTTGACTGGTATTATTGGGAGAGTTTTGTACAGTATTCAGAAGCATTCAAAATTATATTCAATATTATCACATAATTTATATTTAATGCTAGCCAGTAACTGTCTTAGATTAGATTGGCTGTCATTTGGAGAAATGTATTAACACAAAAAAGACAAACAATCAAGATAAACGAGTTATAGTACAGGACTGGAAACTTTTTCACCACCTTTCCAAACTAGGGATGGGAGCTGATTACATTTTATTGTTATCAGTGCCATTATTGATTCTTCATATTGGTCCAATTCTTTAGCAATTCCCTTATTGATTCCTGATCAATTTTCTGAGTGGAAAAAACACCTGTTTTCAGCAACAATTAGTCCGAACGCAGCGTAGAAACAGAGTAGAAAAAAGAAATGCATGTTAATTTAAGTTTTCATAGTCAAAAAAAGAAATCTGCTATGCCTGCCTCCTTATTGCTTATGTTATTATACCAGGATATCTACCCTCAGTAACAGACACACTGCTTGGCTGGGAAGCAGTGGCCCTCGTGCGTGTCAAATAAATGGCTCAGAGGCATACAATTCCAATGGATCAGACAATTTGGAATCAGGTCTCGATTTCCATCCCATTCCAAACCTCACAAGGGGGAGCGCTAACATCGTTCCAGAGCAGCCACACTGACAAGGCTGTCTGCAGATGTGTCTGTAGACATTTTTTGTTAATCAGCCTCATGAGTGCAGGCATCGGCCTATGCCATGTATTAATAAATGCCAGATAATCGGTCAGCCACTAAGATTTGGTTTAGCCATTAATGTCCTCCACAGGATACACTGTAATACCTCTAGTGATCCCCTGACTATTATCATCATCACGTCAAATCTTTTAATTGTCGGATACTTTGGTTTATACTAAATACCTGCAAAACTAATTACAATTCCATTAGCCTAAGCTGTACTTTGTGTTTAATGCTAATTAGAAAAAGGTTAGCACGCTAGAGCACAGTAGTGTGCCTTTTAATAGTGGATTGAATCCATTTCTTTTTAGCTGTATTTAAAGTGTTACAGCTTTTCATTAAAGTCAAGTGTAGTGGTCAGAAACCTCTGTCATGAGTGGGGCTGAGCCTAAACAGTTACTTTACCTCCTGAACATGAAATGTATTGATGTCTATTTTTCTATTTTGCAATGTGGAGGGTGAAGCTTAAGAAAACTAGAAGCTGTTTAATCTCTTTGTCCATAGTTTTCAGTTTGCCACAGTGCATGTGTGTGTATGTTTGGCAAACTAAAACTAGGACAGATTTAGGAATTACTGCACAATGTTTCTGTCAAACAATAGCCTCTTTACAGACCCAATCATTGCTTAAGGCACTGGTTTTCAAACTGGGGCCTGGGGAACAACATGGTCCCTTGAATGGGTTGTAGTGGGCCCCCAGCAAAAGGAGGAATAGAATAATTTAACTTTTATTAAATTTTTTGGAAGTTGGAAAAAGGGAAGAAATCGAAAATCGAAATTGGCTATTGATTGTAATTTACAGTGATCCTAGCGAGATCATTGACTGACTATGCAGACAGTCTGAGGTCTAATATGCATCTATTGTGAGGGTCCTTGGTTTGGGAACCCCTGACTTAACGAAATATTTCTTTAACCAGACAAAGAAAAGCATTAATGCTACTGCCTCACCCAAGTCATCTTTGTCCAGTTCAATCTCCTCCATCACAGAGGGCATGACGAAGGAGAAGGTCTTCCTGTTGAAGAAGTACAGCGCGTAGCCGATGAACATGCAGAGGAAGATGGCTGTCCGGTAGTAGCCATAGCCTGTGGCCCCCATGATTACACTTGACTGAGCAAAAACAAAAAGGCACACAACTTCAAGGATGATGAAGAAAACCAATAATTATTTCCTCTTTTCTTCAGTGGAGTCTTGATTTGGGTCCTCTGGCATCTAAATTATAGCTAATCAAGCTGAGACCTGTGCTGTTATCACCGGCCAGCCACTGTTGGACTGTTCTTAGTAAAAAGTCAACACCATCAACTACTTGTTTGCTCTGGCACAAAGGAGATATGAATGAAGCTGTGGCATCGGCTGGGCTGCACTTTTTAAATATGCCCTGCAAGGAGAACCGCTCTTGTACAGCACTCTTCTTGTAGGCTGGTAGCTCTATCTGTGAGGCTGCTGCTTGTAGAAGCCAGGGCAGAGGAAGGAAGCCTTACACCAGCCTGAAAAGGAAAAGAACATAACAAACACCGCTTAAATATATATACATATACAATTATTAGCCTGTTGTCACAGCCTGGCTGCGCTCTGTTTACAAATCCCGTCTGGATTCGCTATCAGGAAGGAAAAATTGGTATCAATACATCTCTATGTGCAACTTAGTAGAGCAACTAAAACTGTAGTTTTTCTCATCTACATCCACTAAATGTTGTCAGACACTTTGTCACTGAGGATTAGCGAACGTTAGATGGCAGCTATTGTAGTCCGTTTCGCTGCTATTTTCTATTTTCTGTTATCAAACTTAGGGGGAATTAAGGACTTATTTAGACCAAATCAGAATTGATCGAAAGACTGTGGAAAGACTAATAAAGACTTTTGTGGCTACTGTAGAAGCATGGTGGTTCAACATGGCAGCCTCCATGGAAGGTGACCCATGCTTTCTGTCTAGGGCATAACCACGCATTCTTTGAGGGGGACGTGTGCCCCCACCTGAAAAATGATACTGATACTGAACAATGTCTACAATGTGGTTGCACCTTTGGTTTCTGTAGATATATAAAACTCATTCTAAGGTAACAAAAACTCAACGATTCTTAAGTTCAGTTAATTACACACAAATATAAACACAGTTATGCATATCCGATTCCCTATAAATGTTTACACTGGAGCTCTAATTTTAACAGGTGAAATAGGCAGATAAGAGATCATTGAATAATATATTGTTTGGACACAACACCAGCTTTACAGAGAGACGTGCAATCAAATAATCATTTAATGGGTGAACACAAGTCTTTGTGATGAAAGTACAAACTTTCTCATAGCAATACAGTTTGTGGAGTTGCCAGTGTTCAGATAGAGGGGTCTCTCCCTGCTGGTGGCTGTGATGCTGTGTGGTGGTCAGTTGACCCAGACACCTTGTTATTTACAGCCCCTCAGACGTCACAGGTTCAGGTGCGGCCAGGTCCGGGATACAGTGACACTGGACCTTCAGCTCAGCTCTTTCTGTCGTCCACTGCTCATATAAATGTCATAAGTCGTTGCTTTAACTGCCATGGTCATCTGCTTCGGACTGGAGGTCTCCAGTCAGCAACCCTGCAGATATCAGGTGTCGTGCACAACTTAAACTTAGAAGAAGTGACGCAGCTAGCCTTTTTACACATATAGAAGTCAGGAGAAAGAAAGAGGACCTTAAATGAGCGCTAAGTGTTCTGCAAGTGTTCTGTAAGGCAGGAACATCTGTGCTGTGTTAGCCGTCACTCCTAAACCAAATACGTGCTCCACCATCAGACCATTTCAACTCACCGAGCTCCCACACAGAAACACAGTGTATTCAACAGCATTGCACATGACAACAGACCCCCTACTTCACCAAACAGGGCCGTTCTTGCTAACTTTGGTACAAAGATGCCCTCAGTTACTCGTGGCGAACTGATTTATGGGGCGGTTCGTGTATTGGAGGGTCCTTCGGGCCTACGTTTGCCCAAATGCCGACATAAAGCAAGACACATCGATGCTCTCCGCCGTCGGAAACAGCCGTTTACCGCCCGGCTGCTACACGGGATGTTGAAATGCCTGTAAAGCTGTTACCTTTCATTCGCGTCCCTCTTGCTGATCCCATCCATGCAGAAGGGCGACGCGCGTTCATGAGTCTGCAGCTTTTGAGCGCGTCCCCGTGACACAGCTAAGCCACCGTGGCACAAGCCAGACACTGCTGCAGGGTACAGTTTCAAATGCTGCACCACCATCCGTGAATGCATCTACTGCAAGGGTCGAGTCCAGTACCTGGTGGGATTCAGGTCAATTCTCACGCAGCCAAACTCCATTTAATATTTGTATTATTTTACTTTAAATGTGTATTTCCTCACCATGCAGACATCATGGAATCTTGTATGATCTGTAAGGAATCAGTCGGACCTGCAGATTAATTCCTCATAGTCGAATTTATTTATATTGTTTATACTATACGGATTATTCATTAAAATCTCAATATTTGCCGCTCACTGCTGCCCCCTCCTGACTGCTGTGTGTTGTGTACATTCAGAATTAAATGAAAAAGAATGATGTACAGATTCTGTATGGTGTGCATTAGTGCAGCCCTGCTTCATGTCTGTGGAGTAGCCCACTTTACTCCGCTGGCACTGAATAAAATTCATTTTAAGACACACAAAGATTACTAGATTACATTACTGAAACTTTCACTATATAAGGGCAGTTGCACACAAGACAGATAATCAGAAAAAATCATGTTCCTCTTGGTCCTCCCAGTGCTGACCAATCAGAGCCAAGAAAGATAGCTGATCGTTGACTCAACAACAGCATATCTTTAAGCCACCAACCCAAAGTGTCTATTATTTATTTTGTCTTTTATTTATTCTCACAGCTGGAAAAAAAATGTATTTATTATGGATGGCATGTGCTTTATAATGTCAAAATGTCCGCTGTGAAAAAGGCCTATTGATCCCTTGCTTCACTTTTGGTTTTCTGTGTTCCTCTCTTAAAGTGATGGCTGGTATTTGTGGTCCATTATAAAGTCTTTGTGCTCTTTTGTTGCTGGTATGTCTTGGTGAAGTCACAATTTTTATTATTAGTTCAGTAAGTTTAGTAAATGGTTGACCAGAGTTTTTGTAGTATACAATATATATATATATGTAATTTATATATTGTTCATGACCAATTCAGTATTGGCAACCTGAACGGCCCAACAAAACCACTGTCCACCCACACCAGTGTAAGGATGGGAACTGATAAGATTTTATTGATA